GGTAGCACAAGTTCAAATGAATGTTTTCCTTTGCCTGATAGATCCTTGCATGCATTCTTGCAAGTATTTGTAGGCTAGCCACCTGGGAAAAGGAGGCTGGAAATGTAAGGAAGTTGAAGATTTGAAGAGATGATAGGTGATGGAGCCCAGTTCTGAAGCAGGCAGGAGGGGAGACTCCTGTAGTCACTGCAGAGCATCTTGTAAATTAGGGACAGCTTGGGTATGCATTTAGGAGCGAGCTTTTCTTTCACTATCCTTTTTTTTAGTGACCACTAAAATAGCATCCAAATTCAAAAGCGGCATAGGGTAGCATATATGTCTCACGGAGAGTGTTATATAACAGGGAGCAAGAGATGCCTATTCTTTCCTCCTCCTGCACCCCTTTTGCACTCTCACTCTTGTCTTCCCCCACCCCCCAAAATGTACTCATATGTGACTACATATAGGTACAAACAGGACCTAGATTGGCCTTCCTAGCCTGTTCAGAGTCCTGCTGCCACAGCTGTCCACCTAATCAGGTCCTTATCTAGGAGCACGAAAGTGCAAAATTTGCCAGGCAGCAGCGGTGCTTGGGGCTCTGCAGGGCCCCGGTGTGTGGCTGCGGGGACCAGGCAGCACCTGGCCGCCACTGAGAGCAGAAAGAGAGGCATCTTTCTGGGTTCCCCAGCTGGCAGTATGGAGCACTGACCTGGCCTGCTCACGGACAGACACAGGACCGTCCCCAGCCCCTAGGATCCTTCCCGAAAGCAGAGCTTTCAGGCTGAGTGGGCAGATTTAGAAAGAAAAGAGAGAAGGCTGCACACTGATCATTCACCCCAGCTCCTCTGCCAGCTCCCCCTCACAGCCCCACTGCATCGAAGACAGGAGTGATTTTAAAGAACCACTCTGATGTGAGTTCATCCTAACTGAGGGCAGACCCAGCAGGGGGGCATCCCGAGGTCCTCTCTGCTTTGGCTCAAGGGACAATGACAGTGCGGAGGATGCTGCCTCGCCTGGCTTCTGTGGGAGCGACTAACCATTGACCCAGGCGATTTCAGTGCGTCAGACATGCTTCTTGAGCTCTCCAGGACACATCTACGCAGCTCTTTCCTTCCTGATACAGTAGTCAAAACAAACCCCGTCTCCCCGGGCTGGTGATGTCAGCCTCCTGCCACACACCTGAGGTCACAGGCTGAGTCCTAAAACTATCACAGTCTAAAAGAACATAACAGAAAATCTTTAAAGGGCAAATAAAAGAAAAAAACTAGAGGTGTGTGTATGTACATATCTGCATACATCAGTATTATATATCCATATACACATCAATGTATGTGTTTATATGTGTGTGTATACCAGTATATGCAGACAGCTATATACAATATATGCATATGTTTAAACACACACATACACACCCTAAATAATAAATGTGCACTAAGAAAGAAAATTATTTCATTCAAGTGCTGACCTACATAAAATAGAATAGAAAATGGGAGTTTGGGCTTCTAAAAAAATTACTTCTAACATAGTTTATGATTACAAAACAACCAGACAGAAAGCAGTCTGGGGAAAAAAATCTGTTTCATCACCGGAGTGAACAAACACAATTAAAATGCTAAAAACATGAAGTCTTATGAAAGCGAACGGAACAAGGACTTTTCTTTTTAATGGTGATTGGATGAAAGACAGCCACCTAAACTCCAGGAGTCTCTTGAGACCCAGTATCCCCTCAGCATCAGCTGCAGGCAAAAGAAAAAGAGCTGTGGCTGATTTGAAAGCAATCGTTAATACTCATTCTTTATCTTGCTACAGCTGGAGCGACTGTTGTCTGTCATCTTCACTTTCCACATGGCAAGCATTTCCTTTGAAGAAAGCAGGATTGGCAAGCTTCCTTCACTCACTTCCTCATTCATTCATTCATTCATTTTCCTCTTAAAAGAGAGAAAAAAAAATCCTTGCGTTCACTTCAAGGGACTTTTGAGTAATCTAAGCTGAAACAATTGAAATCCATTTGTTGTTACTGTACAGTATTTTTTTCTTTTTTCAGCCATGTGGGTATTCTCAGCAAAGGAGCCATTTTTATTGATTTTACTGTAAGTAATGGAGTTTTTAAAAAGTAAAACCATAGAATAATTTTTGCCATCAAGTTCAATGAAAAAGATATCTAGAATTAATACAGACAGGAAAAAAATTGAGCACAATGTAGTCGCTTTCTTTTAAGATGCGGTAGTCGATGGAAAGACAATTTCCATGTTGTTCCCTTTGTTTATCACAACAAGATGTGGAAACCTACCCAGCCATCCATGTTCCTGCTCTAAGAATGCAGAGACAAGGTGACAGCATGTAAAAGTAAAGTACTAAGAGCATTTTAAAGCTGAGGGCAAACCACATTTACTAACTCTAGGTGTTTTTCTCCTTACAGCCACCAACTTCCATTTATAATAGATGAACATTTTTCTTTCATTTTTTTAACCAAATCATATTTTTTATTATCAAGTTCACCTTTAATATACACTTTCTATTTTAAAATGGAAAAAATATCCATCATCCTGCCACATTTATATAATCATATTAAGCATTTGGATTTTTCACCTTAATTTTTGAAATTAATTTTCATTAACCCCGTATTTCCCCAGGAGGAATGGGTCCGTCTTCACTAATTCAGTGTTACCACAATTTTATAAAACATAACTACTGAAAATAGTGAGAATTGACTGAATTTGTATACTTTGCTTAAAAACTTTTAAAACCTCTTCATTATTACAAAGTTTATATTCCTAAACTTGCCATTCAAGGCACAAACCTTTATGCCCTAAGTGAATTCTTTAACCTTATCTTTGACTAATCTCCAGTGTGAACTTTTGTTGCCAAGAAAGGTTCACTGTGATTGTAAGAGACAGCTGGTTGAAATAAACACCTTTACCTCTGCCAGCAGAAGGCTATCTGGTGGGGAAAACAAATTTTGCTTTAAGTTAAAATACTACAGCAAAAAGGCCCTTAATCTTCAGGCACCTAGAGAAAGGCTCTTTCTCTTTTACTTCTCTCAGCAGCATGTTATCAGGGTCATTGTCTCTAGAAAACTATTTTGTTGTTACCATGTTACTGCTTCATTCACAGGTGCATAGCCAAGTTGGGCTATAGTCATTCCCACCGATGTGAGCTCCTAGCACTAATGTTAACTCTGACACTCTCTGAGAGCATGCTCTTTCTTGAAGCCAGAAACAGTTCCAGCAAACATAACCAAAGAGTGATGTCAGAGAGCAGAGCCTTTATGGGTGAGTACAAATATTTTAAATCAGTTTTCAGAGATTTCTGGCACTAAGAATTACAGATCATGGGACTTGGACCCCGTGTTCAGCTCCAAGTAGATTTCTTGCTGTAATGTCAACCTTCTCCATTTCCCCAACCCATCCAGAGTTTGAGGTGTCTTTACAGTCTGTGTGACAGTGTTGGGAGAAATACAAAGGGCATGGTCCCACATTCACCTCTCTGCTGACAACAATGCAGAGGCGGCATCCGTGTGCCAAGTAGCACAGCCATCCAGGGGCTCCAGGCAGTGACCAGCAACAAGGTCACCAGCAGCCCCAGTAAGAATGAGAGAAGCAACTGCAGTGTGGAACAGGCTCAGAGCAGATGCGAGGTGATGTCCCTTCCCCCAAATACTTTCAAGGGAGGCTAAGAGGAGGATTTGCCCAGCTAAACAGAGGACTCTGTTTTGGGGGTTGTATGGACTCTTGCATGTGAATTTTTCAACCTTTCTGTAAATGAAAGAAAGACAGACAAAGGAGAAGGGTAAATATATCTAATGAAAAAAGCACCCAGGAGTGAAACAGTGATGGTGTCCTAGGGACTTCTGTCATTTGCTCAGTAAGAGGCCCCTTGTTTATATTTTCATGCCTTCCTCTTTTGTGAGTGATCTGTGCTTCCCCAAAACCCTATGAAGAGAAGAAATGGAGCAACGGGAGCCCTGACTCTGGGCTTCAAAAGTCAGCTGCTGCCGCCGCCGCTGCTCCTATCAGGTGTAATTTGCCTCTTGGCTGCCCCTCACTGGCACTTTCAGAAGCACTGTGTGAGTGTGTGTGTGTGTGCGCATTTATGCATGCGTGGGGTGCATGCCACTTTTACTCATCTTTGGGCTGGGGAGCCTTAGGGAATCAGAGTCCAACACTCACAGTTTACAATGAAAGGATGAAGACTTGCCACTCACCTGTGGCTGCAGGACAGGGACTGGACCAGTTCCCTAATTCTGACACCATGAACTCTTAGGTCTAGCCTTCGGGCTCTGCTTCTGGTCCCTATCTTTGCCTCTCCTGGTCTCCTGGCAAGAACTCTGGATTGACGCAAAACCCAAGCATGGAACTCTTTGTTTTCTGCTCTGTGTGGCTTTTCTGACTGAATTCGGAGTCTGGCTTTATAGACCTTGCAATCTGTGTTAGAAGCTCCAGTACTGGCCTCTCTAGAGGAAGGAAGAACACTGGCTACTTCATTTTCCTCCAAAGCCTCCCAACTGCTCACCTCGTAATTGGTGACTTCCCTCTATTCAGCCCACTGCCTCTCACCCCACAAGCACACAGCTCCCCTGCATCTCCTTGGCCATGACTGGCCCTGACCGGCCCAGCCCAGGAAGAGCCTTCCCACATGTTACTCTCAACCACTTTTATTCTTGCAACATTCTGACCATTCACATGGTAATATATTTCGTTATAGCTAGTTACCACATATTCGTGTGTGAGGGCACAACGAAAGGTGTAAGGTGCACCAATGAATCCTTCAAGAACCCTAAGATACTGCTGATTTACAAATAGGAAAACTGCTGTGTGGAAGGGTTAAGAGTTTTGCCCAAAGCCATAAAGCTAGTAAATTGTAGGATCCGAACTTGGAAATATCTCTGCTTGATTCTCAGGTCTACATGCTTAACTCCACATCAGGCCACCTTCCCGTGAGGAGTCTCACAGTCTTCACCCTAAAGATGTTCCTCTGGTTCTGAACTTACTTCCCAACAATTTCCAGACAAACCCCTACACTTTGAAGCTTGATCTCACAATTCATGCTAACGCACAACTTGGTTTTTTTCCCTTACCTATATGTCGTTGTCAAAGGGCAATTTTTTAAAGGGTAAAATCATGACTCTTATGTTATTATAAAATGAATACAAGTAAAAGATTTTATTTGACTAATTAACCAAAGATGGAACCAGTAAGATATTACAGCTGGTTCAAAGGAGAATTCAAAGTACCATACATATATAGGCAATCTGAAATGCTGAAATGAATTTAACATGCCTGCAAAACTGGTCAAGATCCACCAGGTGATAATGAATTACATCTGACACCGTTCATTTGCATTTCTGTGGACACCAGTCATTTCCACTATTATCATTTTCTACAACCTAGAATACAAAATACCTCAAAGACCATGAAAGGTGGAGATAAGCTGGAAGAGCGGGCTACACGAGACACTCAGAGGTCATTTTTACCCATTTCAAGGTCTTCTGCATTTTTCCTGGAATCCTGAACATAATATTTTATTATATATTTATTATATGACTGTATTATAATGTAACCACTCTCTATACACGTGTGCACGCACATGCGCGTGCACACACACACACACACACACACACAAATGGGTCTAGATTCAAGTTGTGGAGGCAAGTTTTCTCTTCAGAATGAATACAATAGAATCACCTGGTTCTCCGGCCCTCTTTCAGTAGTGACTATTAGATAAGCATTCCACAACCAACCATGTATTATTCCCAAAGAATTCCCCAATGTCATAGGATAGTAGCTTTTTCCCCCAAAACAGTGTCATGAACAGATGGTACTAGACAGTCACCTCTTATCTTTAATGCTGTCATGCTCATATGGCAGTAAATCATAGGATATTCACAAAGACAGGGCATTGTGAAGCCCTAATTAAATATTTTGACTAGGAACCTGCCTTTGCTTTGATAGAACATCCCAGCATGAAACAAATAGCTACCAAAAATACTTCCTAAAGAAGGATATGGTTCTATCTCTAAGAAACCACCAACTTCTTCCTTCCCCAGACACCTGTTTCCTGCCTTGAGAATTTAGGCCCTTCTGGTCACTAGTAAAGGACACCTGCCGCATAGGGATCTGCCTGAAAAAAGGAAAAAGCGAAAACCAAGACACCACCACAGCTTTTCAGGAGTGAGTTGGCAACTGGTGCTCAAGATCTGAGTTGCTTCAGGGCCTAAATCATCTTCTTGCCTCCTAAGGGAAGTCAGTCTTAGACAAGAATTAAAGTGCAACTACCTTATTTGGGAAGTGCAGGAAATACTCGTGGGGGGAGTAAGGAAGAGAATAGAGTAGCGGGCAGGCAATAAAGGATGTGTGATTAAGCACTATCACAGTGGGTGACTAAAGCTTTACGCAAGCCAAGAGGTGACTGAGCTGCGGTAGTACTTATAGAGCAACTCCGGTGAGCCACTGATAGAGGACTGGTCCTAAGAGGTGCTAATTCATACTTCTAGCCTGCTACAGGTTCTGGAAATAAGATCTTTAGACGGGGAGACAAGGACACTGGCGGCTGGCGTCAGTCAGAGCCACTGAAGGGCTGGCAGGGAGACAGGGGAGGGGAGGAGTGGGCAGATACTACTAATACCTACTCACCACAGCTGAGGAAGGATGGTCTCTCCAGTGGTCAGCGTTAATGTGCTTCAACCTCTCGGTCTCTGCTTTCTTGTTTTTTCTCCTGCTACCATATTTCCTAGTAGCAGACAGAGAGAGCACGCACCTTGCTGGCGTAGAGCTTATCGCCTTGAGTTGGCTCACAGGCCACTGGTCAGCCTCTGGATTGGTTGTCCTAGGATCAGGTACATACTCCTGGCTCCTGTTTCTGAGTGCAACAGAGTCAAGTGACATACAGCAGGACCACTTGTGCTACAGACTAGCCTAGGGGCTGCGAGCAGGACGGCTTCCCGCCGCAAGCAGACGTCACGCACATTCTGTTCTGACACAGGTGACGGCAGAGTTATGCCTCTGATGGTTGTGCACGCTTACATCCACCTCACCTGGGGAACCAGCGAGGCTTTAGTCATTAGAATCCCTAACCTGAAGCTGTGGTTTTTCGTATATATGTCTCCCCTTAGAATTTAGTGTGTTCCTTTGCTCATCTTAATTTAACATTTACACTGTACTTTACCTGTCACCATTTCTATCTTCTCATTTGACTGTTTTCATGAACAAAAGCCTGACGTACGTGCAGTAGGATTTCACTGCACCAAGAATTGCTGTCATTCTTGGTTTCGAGGCACACGCTGCATTTGAATCTGGGAACCCTGCGTTCTAACTGAACTCCTGACTCCCATCCTCATGTTCTCTGAGAGCCCCCCTCTCACACTTACACCTTCTCCTTGCCATATTTGCTTTATAGCATTCAGCAGTCTCTACAATTTATTTTTTAACCATTAATCTCCTGACTTCCCACATAAGCTTCATGAGGGCAGATGCCAGGATGAGGTGATCAAATTAATAGCTGTTGAATGAATTTATTACTAAAGCAAGGACCTTAAGGTTTTTTCCTAGGAAAGGGCACGGGGGATCAGTTTGGACTGATCCAGTGGCATCTGTGGCTTGGTCCCTAGTGTGACTAAGACAAGTTCTGGGGTGGTGACTGGCCAGAGGCAGCATGGAATCGTCAGGCAGAGCTGAAGCTGTGGCCTGGGTGTCATCAGTGTGGCTCAGATCAGCAGAGTCCCTACTTGGAGAAGGAAAGCTTATCAGGAAGCAATAGGCAGGACTCGCAGGGCAGGGACATGTGAGACGGACAGTGAGCCACAGGGAAACATCTGGCAACCATCAGGGCGAAGGGCACAGGATAGCGCATTAGAGGGCAAGACCTTCATCCTGGATGCACTGAGGAGGCCTTGCCGTGGGCCAGCCCTGGATGATGAAAATTCCAAGTTAGGGAAGGAATTCACAGCAGCCACATTGCTGACGGCAGCCACCCCACCGCAGCCCACACTCGGCATGCCACAGCTCTCGCAAGGCCAAAATAAACAGCGCAGAAAATGATTCTCCAGGAGATCTTGACTATAATGTCCTTCGGGAGATGCTTATAGAGGTCTGCACTCGTTGTCAGTGCCAAGAACCAGCACTTACACTTATCATGCGTATTCCGGTCTTCCTTTCATTTCTGACTTTGGAAAGTTACATTGGGCATGAATTGTTTTTTTAAATTTTAAGTAGAAAAACGTAAGTATAACATCAATATTTCCCATCCTGGCCACCCTGTACCTAAACAGCAAATCCAACAACGTGTCAGAGGAGAATATTAAATGGCACTCAACCTTTATGTCATTCGTGGAAGATATCCTTTGAAAAAACTGGATAAATGAGAACAACTTGCTGTAGAACATGTGCCTATAAAGGCTTGAGACTGCTGTTAATAGGCTACGTAGCTTTCAAATTGAAGGCAGTGCAGGCAGAGGCTGATCATATCCGAGTGTGAGAAAGCGCACCGCTTTCAGAAAGGCAGGACGGTTCATTCATGATTAGCCTTCGAGCTCATAAAAACGACACACTCACTGACACGGTCCTATGTCAGTGAGTGTATGGAGAAGAAAGAGATTTCTGTGGCATACTAAGGAAAAAGTTTTATTTCAAGCTTCAATGTAAACGGAATTTCTAAATTGTAAGAGGGCATACTTTTGCAAGAGGAGAAAAATCCAGATGTTCAAAGCCCTGGATCAGGATGTGAAGAATGTGTCACACTGACACATTCACTGAATAAAAGAAAGTCTCTAGGGCAGATTATTTAAAGAAGAGTGACAGCAAAGAATTCCTAAAACTATCAAGAATTCTGTCTCTCTCTTTTTAATGAGTGCACACCTATAAATTCCTTTGTTAGTTTTCAATGCACATTATTCTTTTTATTCAAACCCATAATAATAACAGTCTGAAATAATGCTCTTTAAGTTAAGTATAGAGCTTCAAAACAAGGGGCTGCTATTCAACCTCATAAAGCCCTCTGACCACAGCTCTGGGCCTGAACATTCTCCTAGTCAATCAATATTAGCATATCTGCACTATATCACCCTCATTAGGAAATTCGTTCATTCATTTAACGAGGTATTGACAGCCTACTCTGTGCTCGGCATCCTTCTTACAGGACGTCAAGAACACAACTGACAAAAAACCCTGGGGGCACGGTGGGGAGGAGGCAGATAACACACAATACTTGGGGATAAGTAACGTGCTCTGCAAGGCCGTGATACGTGCTCTGGAAAATCGGCTTCCAGGAGCTGATTGTGGCATCTCTTCTCCAGCTCCGTGTTCATCAGCATCAATTCGGTGACATCACACTGGTAACCTGAAACAGCAAAGTATTCGCACCGCGGAAATGTGCAGATCTTACGAAGTGCAGCTCCTTTTTCTCAGACAGGTAGCTGATAAACGTTTACCAGCACACCACTGACGTGATTTTAGATCAAACATTGACATTTGAGCAAAGACATGAATGTGGTGAGGGAGTCAGCCTTCAGCCATATGTCATCTAGGAGAAGAGCATTTGAGGCCATGGAAGAGCCACTGCAAAGGCCCGAAGTAAGGAGCAGGCTGGGGGTGTCCTAGGAAGAGCAGGGAGTCCAGTGGACAGAGCAGAGAAAGTGAGAGACAAGGAGAGTGGTAAAGATGCGCCGGGCCAGGTAATTTTAGAGCAGATTGTGGAGGATGCTGTAGGCCACTGGGGGGACTCTGGCTTTTACTCTGAGTGTGATGGAACGCTATTAGAGGTTTTAGAAGAGAGGAATGTGGGATCTAATGTGCCTTTTCTTTTTCATTTATTTTATTTATTTAGTTTTGGCTGCGTTGGGTCTTCGTTGCAGCGTGCGGGCTTAGTTGCTCCGCGGCACGTGGGATCTTCTTGGACCAGGGCTCGAACCCGTGTCCCCTGCATTGGCAGGTGGATTCTCAACCACTGCGCCACCAGGGAAGTCCCTAATGTACTTTTAAAAGGACCACTTTGGTATGTTGAGAATAGATTAAGTTGTGGGGAGTTGATGGGAAGTGAAAAGGTACAAGCAAGGCAAAACTATTCTAGATATTGTAGTCTATTTACCTAGGTGAAATGTGATGGTTCAGAGTAACAGTAACAGATGTAGTGAGAAATGGCTGGATTCTAGATATATTTTGAAAGCACCTACAGGAGGTGCCAATTGATTGAACATGCAGTGTCAGAGAAAGGAGTAAAGGCTGACACTAAGACTTTTGGTTTGAACAAATGGAAGGATGGATTTGACATCACTTGAGAAGTAGAAGACTCTGGGTGGAGCAGATGCAGGGGAAGGGAAGGGCGGGACAGTCAGAAGGTCAGTTCTGGACAAACTGAACTTCAGGTATCCATTATGTCGAGTAGGAGATGGATGTATGAGTCTGAATTTTAGGAGACTGTTCTGGCCTGGAGATGTAGATTTGGAAGGCATAGATGGCATTTAAAGGCTTAGAATAAGATAGTAATGCCAAGGAGTGAGTATAGACGGTGAAGAGACAAAGAACAAGGATTCAGCGTTAAGATACTCCAGGGTTGAAAGGTCAGGGGAAAGAGGAGGACCAACAAAAAAGAGTTAGGAATGAGCAGCCAGAGACAAAGGAGAAAAGCCAAGGGTGTGCTGCCCTAGAAGCCAAGTGAAGAAATTGTTTTAGGCAGCAGGAAGTGATCAGCTGTGTCTAATGCTGCTGATAGCTCTGGTAAAATGAGAACTGAGAATTGATCACTCTATTTAGCGAAATGGAGGTCACTGGTGACCTTGACCAGCGTGGGTTCAGTGGAGGTCCGTGAAGCGAAGCCTCGTTGGAGTGGGTTTAGGAGAGAACTGGAGGAGGGAAATTTGAGACAGTGAGTATAAGAGACTCTTTGAAGGACGTCCTCTGCAAAGTAGAGCAGAGAAATGGGGCGGAAGCCGACAGGGGAATTGAGGTTAAGAGTAGGGCTTTGTTTGGTTTGGTTTAAAGATGAGAGAAATAACGGCAAGTTTGTATGGTGATGGGAATGAGCCAGTAGAGAAACTTCAGTGGAGGGAACTTTAGTCCCTCAACCCTTCTCTTCCTCCCTGCCTGGTTTCATTTCCCTCCTTGCTTCATTTCCCTTGTTAGCCAGCCTGGTCCCATGACTCGCTATTTCTGTTATGCTTTTACTAACCCCCTACAATGCATCCCTTTTGTTACTCCTTCCTTCCCAAGCCCACCATTTTCTTTCTTCTCCAGAGCTCTTGGGTTGCCAGTTGGCTTTACTACAATAGTTTCATGCTACCTAACCTCACTTGAACCTGCAGAGCTGTCCAAGTATTCTTTTCTTCTTATATTCTTTCATGGTTTACTTCCTAGCAAATGACCAACAGTGTTTATTCCAATATTTTAAAAACTCGTATTCAGCATTTATTCAACCCACATTTATTGAGCAAGAAAATGTTCCAGACACTGGATCCTGACACCCAACCCCCCACTGCTCCCTGGCCTCTTAGCAGATGACCTTTATTCCACTTTCCCGAAATGATTGATGCGAAGTTCTTCAATCTTCTCCCTCACATTCCCAACTTTAAAAGACATCCTTCCCATCATTATTTATAGAAAATAAAGTTTCCCTGCTTATCTCAAAGATTAACTCTTTCATTTTGGCCTTGATTCTGTTACCTCTTATATTTAATCACTTGTTCTATCAATTAATCTCCCTGCATCTTTTACATCGTCTCCGCCCTTCTTCCCAGAGGGAACAGCTGTACTGACCTTTGAACTAATCATTCTTTTGCTTTTCTTTATGATTTTTTCACATATATACACACACATACATATATAGGTAGATACATACATACACACACATACATATATAGGTAGATATATATGTGTGTGTGTGTATCTTAATACAGTGTTCACTTTTGACAAACCTGGTTTTGGGTTTTGGACTTTAAAACGTGAGCCTAGCTGTGTATGGAGAAGACGGTTTGCCGCTCCTTGGAGATAGCTGAACAGACTCTCTGGGTTATAGTCTGGCTTCAGCTTCCCCTGTGGGGCTGTCAGTACAGAAGGTCATGAGTGAGTCCTGGAAACATGGAGTTGGGGCCCGTGGCAGGAAAATGGGTAGGGGTGGAGGCTCTGCATTTGCTTTCTCAGCTCCTATATTAGAAGAAAACACAGAAAATTAATGAATTAAATTTCCCATTCGAGAAGTTAGCATCAAAATATACCCCGAGAAAACAGGAGGAAAGAACTAACAAAGGTTTGAGCAAAAACTAAGAAAACAGAAAACAAAGATACAATAAAGATTATCAATACAACCAAAGCTGTTTCTTTAAAAGGACTAATAATGTAGACAAATCCCTGGCAATATTTATTAAGAAAAAAGAGAGAAAGTAGAAATAGAGTTTGCAATGAAAAGGATATAGCAGATAAAAAAACTGAAAATATTTACAATGAAAAACTTAATGCTGAGGCTTCCCTGGTGGCGCAGTGGTTGAGAGTCCGCCTGCCGATGCAGGGAACACGGGTTCGTGCCCCGGTCCGGGAAGATCCCACATGCCATGGAGCGGCTGGACCCGTGAGCTATGGCCTCTGAGCCTGCGTGTCCGGAGCCTGTGCTCTGCAACGGGAGAGGCCACAACAGTGAGAGGCCCGTGTACCGCAAAAAAAAAAAAAAAAAAAAAAAAAAAGGAAGAAGACAGAGATAACAAATGGCGAGGATGTGGAGAAAAGGGAACACTTGTGCACTGTTGGTGGGAATGTAAATTGGTGCACCCACTGGGGAAAAGAGTATGGAGGTTCCCCAAAAATTTAAAAATAAAACTACCATATGATCCAGCAATTCCACTTCTGGGTATATATCTAAAGCAAATTAAAACAGGATCTTGAAGAGATATCTACACTCACATGTTAATTGCAGCATTATTCATAATAGCCAACGTTCAGAAACAACCTAGATGCCTATCAACAGAGGAATGTATAAAAGATGTGGTTTATATTTACAATGGAATATTATTCAGCCACGAGAAGGAAGGAAATCCTGTCATTTGTAACAACATGGATGAAACTTGAAGGTATTATGCAAAGTGAAATAAGTCAGACAGAGTAAGACAAATTCTGCATGATATCACTTACACATGGAATCTTTTTTTAAAAAAGTCATAACTCATAGAAACAGAGTAGAAAGTGGTTGCTAGAACTGGTGGGGGGCAGGAGGTGGAGGAAATAGGGAGAGGATGGTAGAAGAGTACAAACCTTCAGCTATAAAGATGAATAAGGTCTGAGAATCCAATGTAAAACATGGTGACTATAGTTGCTGACACTATACTGTATAATTGAAATTTTGTAAGAGAATAGAACTTAAATGTTCTCATCAAATAAAAGATAAATATGTGATAAACAGGTGAGGCATTGGATGTGTTAATTAGCTAGAAGGGAGGAATCCTTTTACAAGGTATATGTATGTCAAATCACCATGACGTACACTTTAAATATCTTATAATTTTGTTAGTTATACCTCAAGAAAACTGAAATTTAAAAAATACCAAGTATTGCCAAGGATATGGCACAAAAGGAACGCTCATATACTGATCCTGGGAGTGTCAACTGGTACAACGTCTTTGCAAAGTATGGAAGTAGCCAATCGCCTAAAGATTAGACATTCCATTCTTCTTCCTTGTTTACCAAACCCCAATATTTTTAGAACAGCAATGTCCTTAGGCTCAGTGTATGAATCATGTCTGGTTGGAGCCAATCATAACCATCCTATAACATTTTGCTAGATATGTTTTCCCATTTCCTTGACACCAAGAGGCTGCAACCCCATTCTGGCCAATGGGATGTAAAGGGAAGTCTGATGAAGAACTTCTGGTTGCTAGGACACGAGAGTCCCCAAGGGTGGGGGTAGAGGTGGGGGGGTTCCCTTTATTCTTCAAACATGTCCCCATCCTAAGTCAGTAGTGGTCTACCCTTAGAAAAATAGGAAGGTTTTTCCTCCCTAAAAAAACAAAGAAGCCCCCTTTTCTACATACTCTTTTCTCTTGTTTGGGACACTGGAATGAGACTGTGATGCCTGGAGTTGTGGAAGCCATTTTGTGATCATGAGGTGACAATCAAGAGGACCAAAGCCATCACACTAAGGTAGTAAGAGTTGAAGGATTGAAAGTGACTGGATCCTTTGTTGACAATGTTAGATAATTAAATCTTTATTTCACAAACAACTGTTGGTGAGCTTTTCTGTATCCTGTAATCAAAAACTTTCCTGATAGAAAAGTTGTCTAGTAAAGTTAAAAAAAAAAGCTTAAGATCCAGAATACTTTGACTCCTAAGTATTTACCTTAAATAATCCTTACAAACATGCACAAGAAAACATATCCAGAGATGTTCATCTCAACACTGTTTGTAATGATGAGAAACATCAAAACAATCTAAATATTCATCAACAGGAAATATGGATAAATAATTTGAGGTCTATTCATACAAAAGAATACTATATAGAAATTTCAATAAATAAACTGGAGTTACATGAATCAATACACTAAATCTTAAAAGAATGTTAAGCAAAAAAAAAATGCAAGTTGAAAGAGGATTTATATAGTATGTTATATTTTGAGAGAATTTCAAAACATGGAAAGCAATATTATATGTATTTTTATAGATGAATTAATATATAATACAAATGTAAACCATGCACAGGAATGTTAAATATCAGATTCATTGTAGTATGTATTTCTGGGGTGGAAGGGAAGGAAATAATATACAGGGGTCTCAACTCCATCTATAATGTAAAATGTAAAGTGTGCCATGAATACAAATTATTATAGAAAATAACAGGAATATTCTAAGACTTCTCAAATGGCACAAATTCTTCAGCATTTCATTACAAGTCACAGCAAGTCCTCCTTGGCTTACTCCAATCCTCATACATTAAACCTTACAGTATTTGAATTGTAAACTTTTGAGGCCTATAGTTAGTGATAAATAGCAAACAGAATAAGTAATGTATTAGAGGCTCCCAGGGTAATTTTTGCTGGTATCAAAATAACTCAGTGAGCCATAACTATCATTTCAATGCTAGTCACCATTCTTTGCAAAGTGCACCAATCCCTACAACTCTGGATTTAATGTTCTCATAATCTTTTATTCCCTAGGACAAGTTGTAAAACTGTAATATCTTCACCCAATTTTCAGAAAGGCTCTGCACTTCAAAATCACAAACCTTTCCCAAGTTTGGATATTAAGGCAAATAAGAAGCTACAGGACTTCCCTGGTGGCGCAGTGGTTAAGAATCTGCCTACCAAAGCAAGGACCAGATGGCTTCACAGGTGAATTCTATCAAACATTTAGACAAGAGCTAACACCCATCCTTCTCAAACTCTTCCAAAAAACTGCAGAGGAAGGAACACTCCCAAATTCATTCTATGAGGTCACCATCACCCTGATGCCAAAACCAGACAAAGATTCTATGAAAAAAGAAAATTACAGACCAATATCACTGATGAATATAGATGCAAAAATACTAGCAAACAGAATCCAACAGCACATTAAAAGGATCATACACCATGATCAAGAGGGATTTATCCCAGGGATGCAAGGATTCTTCAATATACACAAATCAATCAATGTGATGCACCATATTAACAAATTGAAGGATAAAAACCACATGATCATCTCAATAGATGCAGAAAAAGCTTTAGACAAAATTCAACACCCATTTATGATAAAAACTCTCCAGAAATTGGGCATAAAGGGAACTTACCTCAACATGATAAAGGCCATATATGACAAACCCACAGCAAACATCATTCTCAATGGTGAAAAACTGAAAGCATTTCCTCTAAGATCAGGAACAAGACAAGGATGTCCACTCTCACCACTATTACTCAGCACAGTTTTGGAAGTCCTAGCCACAGCAATCAGAGAAGAAAAAGAAATAAAAGGAATACAAATTGGAAAAGAAGTAAAACTGTCACTGTTTGCAGATGACATGATACTATACATAGAGACTCCTATAGATGCCACCAGAAAACTACCAGAGCTAATCAATGAATCTGGTAAAGTTGCAGGATACAAAATTAATACACAGAAATCTCTTGCATTCCTATACACTAATGATGAAAAATCTGAAAGAGAAATTAAGGAAATACTCCTAGTTACCACTGCAACAAAAAGAATAAAATACCTAGGAATAAACCTACCTAGGGAGACAAAAGACCTGTATGCAGAAAACTATAAGACACCGATGAAAGAAATCAAAGATGATACAAACAGATGGAGAGATATACCATGTTTTGGATTGGGAGAATCAGAGTGAAGTAAGTCAGAAAGAGAAAAACAAATATCGTATATTAACGCATATATGTGGAACCTAGAAAAATGGTACAGATGAACTGGTTTGCAGGACAGAAATTGAGACACAGATGTAGAGAACAAACGCATGGACACCAAGGGGAGAAAGCGGTGGGGGGTGGGGATGGGATGAATTGGGAGATTGGGATTGACATGTATATACTGGTGTGTATAAAATGGATAACTAATAAGAACCTGCTGTATAAAAAAATAAATTTAAAAAAATTAAGAAAAAAGAATCTGCCTACCAATTCAGGGGACATGGGTTCGAGCCCTGGTCCGGGAGGACCCCACATGCCGTGGAGCAACTAAGCCCATGTGCCACAACTAGTGAGCCTGCACGCTGCAACTACTGAAGTCCGTGTGCCTAAAGCCCGTGCTCCACAGCAAGAGAAGCCACCACAATGAGAAGCCAGCGCACGGCAACGAAGAGTAGCCCCTGCTCGCCGCAACAAGAGAGAAGCCTGCACACGGCAACGGAGACACAAAGCAGCCAAAAAAATAAAATAAAATAAAATAATAAGGGGGGAGGATAGATAAATAAACCTAAAAATTTTTAATTAATTAATTAAAAAAAAAAAAAGAAGCTACAAGTGGGGACTTATCTGGCAATCCAGCAGTTAAGACTCCATACTTCCACTGCAGGGGGTGTAGGTTCAGTCCCTGGGCTGGGAACTGAGATCTCACGTGCCGCGCAGTGTGGCCAAAAAAAAAAAGAAGCTACAAGGGAATTCAAGTTTATTGAAAAAGAAAAGACATGGGAGAAAGCACTGTTTGTACTAGGCAGTCTTCATTCTACATTGAAGGACACATAAATATCCAATATAGTTAATATTTCACTCTTTCTGGAAGATTTTTCCAAGTGTCTTAAGAGTAATATTTCTTGCATAGATTTCAAAGTGAAAATTTGTAAAACCTTTTTAGACCTCTGTGCTGAAAGAATTATGCAGAAATGAGTTTTGCCAGAAGGGGACAAAGAAATTCCAAAGTCCCATGTTAGGTAAACAAGAAGGGGTCAGGGGATTTTGGATAAATGAGAACTGATCAATCTGTGAATACCCCGATTGTGAGTTCAGGACGTAGAGGATCAAAGAAATAAAGTGCTCTTCGCAACCTAGCGGGCAGGAACTGCTGGGCAAGTGACCTCGGCCACCTGCAGAGGTCCCAGAACTGAGTGGCCCTACTCTGCCTCTTCAGGGCGAGTGACTACAAGGTCTAGCAATTCCCTGGCAGATAGGATCCCTTAAGAGTAGTGCTGACTCCAATATAGTGATTGTATTCTGGGTTAAAAGGACCATGAGCCTCCAGAACATGGACCAGAATAACCCCATCCCTTGAATCCAAAGGTTGGGAGGAGAGTGCTCTAGTTCAGTCCAACTGTGGCACTCCTGTTAGAAGTTTCTGCTGTGAGAGCTGACTGTCCAGGATAAGCCCATAAAGTGACAGTGGGATATCCGCAGGCAAGGTCTGGGAGGCTGTTCAAGACAGAGAATTGGAATGTAGACACCCCAGAACACAGTGAACAAGGAAGGCGGGGATGCTGAAGGAAGAGAGGATCTACAGAGAAAAAAAGATGAAGTTAGGATGAAGAGAGATGATGAAGATAAAGAAGGCCAAAGGTCAAAGGGGTAGGATGAGACAATAATGAATATAACGTACAGAATCTAAAAGGTGAGTTCTGGTGGGCAGGATTAGGCAGTAGAACTGAACCCCTGTGTCCTGCTCAGTAGGGCTTTCATCATCCTATGAACCAGAGTGATGGACCCAGAGCCTCGGCCTCTACCTCCAAAGCCCTTTGGCCCCGCGGGCTAGAGTTACGGGCCTTTTTGTAGGAGTCTCATTTACAGCTCCACTCTGCCTGCATCCCCACCCGCACTATGCACAACAGCTGGCACAAGACTCCCTCTTGTTCCTAGTTACTCCACTTCGGGCACTGACTTATCCCAGTGGTCTCCAGTGAGTCTGAGCTCTGTTATTTCCAACTTTCCACTTATCCTTCCCACTTTCTGTATTCCAACAATCTGAATTCCTGGCCTTGGCCTTGACCACACTGACCTCTGGTATTCTGTCTAAAGGCCAGCCTTCGGCCCCTTCTCATTTGGGAAGGAGCTTCCTGGCAGATGCTTTGGAGTTCTACCTGCACTGCAGAATAAAACAGTGATCAGCACAGTCAAATAGAGCAGAACGTCAAAGAGAAAGAATGAGATGGAGACAACATCATGGGTGATGTCTGAGTGAGCAGTTTCAAGAGCACAAACACGGATGGACCTGGAGGTAATTATGCTTGTGAAATAAATCAGAGAAAGACGAACACTGTATGTTAGCACTTATATGTGGAATCTAAAAAAGAAAACAAATGAATTAATATAACAAAACAAACATGCTCACAGGTATAGAGAACAAACCAATGGTTACCACTGAGGAGAGAGAAGTGGGGAGGAGTAAAATAGAGGTATGGGATTAAGAATTACAGACTACTACGTATAAAATAAATAAGCTACAAGGATGTAATGTACAGAATGGGGAATATAGCCAATATTTTATAATAACTTTAAATGAAGTATAATCTATAAAAATATTGAATCACTATGTTGTACACCTGAAACTAATATAGTATTGTAAATCAACTATAGTTCAATTAAAAATAAACAAATAGCTCAGTGGTTCTCAAAAAAATAAACAAACCCTCCACAAACTCGAGAGTCTAAAAGAAAGGGAGGGGCAGGAAAAGATGAAGATAAACCAGAAAACAAAAGAATGGCCACACGTAGCAAGTAGGCTGAGGCAGTTTTCTGACCCACTTCTAGGTGTCTTTATTTCCCTTACCCTAGAGGGAATGGCTTTCTGAATAAGACCAGCGGAAACTTTCAGGGGAGAGGCAATTGGAAACGCCTGGCTTAGGTGACATGCGTAATGAGAAGGCATTTCCTTACAGCAGTTTCTGATAAGGACATACTTTCACCTGCTGTCTGTTTACTGCTCCTTCAAAGGAAAGCTCTGGTTGCCCTACTGAGTTCTAAGCTTCAGGTATCCTAGCTGTCTTTTCTTGTCCCTGCTAACCAGAGAAAGAGAGAAGCTCTTCATGTCCCTGTTCTGGAATTATTTTTTCTAATCTAGTTTGGGCAGTCAACTTGCTTTCTCAACATCCTGTTCTTGGCCTTTAAATCTCAGTCTGAAACAAGAGCTACTGTATTGTGTATTTGAAAGTTGCAAAGAGAGTAATTCTTAAAAGTTCTCATTGAAAGAAAAACATTTTTGTAACTATGTGTGGTGATGTGGATGTTAAATAGACTTAGTGTAGAGATCATTTCACAGTATATACATATATCAAATATTATGTTGTACACCTGAAACTAATATAATATTATATGTCAATTATATCTCAATTAAAAAATTAAAGAAAGAAAAGAAAAATAATTTTTCTTTTGGCTGTTCCGCGCGGCTTGCAGGATCTTAGTTCCCCAACCAGGGCAGTGAAAGCACCAAGTCCTAACTACTGGACTGCCAGGGAATTCCCAAGAAAATTAATTTTTAAAAAACAGACAAATAAGCATAAGTTGTTCATGTTTGCCAAAGTAGTTGCTCATTTTAAATGGTATCACCATAGACGATCTTTAAAATTTACTGAACACAGGTTTTCCATAATTATTAATTGACCAGCTCCCTGAGAGTAATGTTCATTTCAATGATTATAACCATTCTTTTCTCCTAACAGTCACATAGATAAAAATTAACATCCTGGGATATATATATATATATATATATATATATATGTATGTATACATATTTGTAGATTTTTTCTCAGTCAAAATTCGGCATCACAGTTTGGTTTGGAAAGTAAGTTTGCAAGAATTTCATGGAGTGTAAAGAGACCCTCCTGTCCTAAATTACAGTGTAGGTCTTTGGATGGAGTTGCTTTGCCTGAGAGAAGCAAACAAGTGCTTAAGGGTAATAGCACTTAAAACATTCCATACAACACTTGTAACTTTATTCTCACATGTTCTCTGTTCTTTCACATGGATGGGGAACACCTGTTGGTTGGTGGTTCCTATCAGAGCCAGATAGCGTGTAAACAAACGTTACAATTTGTATTATTTTCATCCCCTTCAGTAACTGAACTTGATCTCCTAATTTGTGTCAAGTGGCTTCAGGAGGCTGCAGGCAGGCCGGGAATTTGTGCAAAGATCTATCAGACCCTGGAGACTTCCTAGAAGTACAAGGTCAGTGGGAGGGATAAGCTGCCACTCAACTACTCTTGTTGTACATCAGTTCAGTTTCTCTTCTGTTTTTAAAGTGGCCTCGGGGAATGGGACATGTGTGTTTACTGGAAAGAACAAGGGCTTGAGGGCCCCAAACACCAGGCCTGATTCTCTGTTCAATCACATAATAGCAGCAACCTTGGGCTGATCAATTAACTACTCTAATCTCCAGCTTTCTCACCTGTACAGTATAAGTTAACATCTCCTAGAGATTTTGCATGAGTTGGATCAGTGTCATCGGGGGGCTCCTGGAGTCAGATTAGTTAGGGCTCAAATTCTGGCTCAACCACGGATTTGCTGTGTGAATCTGGTCAAGTTGCTTAAAGTCTTTAAAGCCTCAGTTTCCTCAATATATGCAATATTCATACAAATGATTCCTATCTTATTGGGTAGCTGTGCCGAGCAAATGAGATTATCCTTAGAATGTAGCATAGTGCCTGGCACATAGCAAGTGTTCAAATGAATGTCAGCTGTTATTATAGGAGGCACCACTCACAGTAAATTATTTCTGGTTCTCTTAACCAGGTTGCACATGAATAGGATAGGAGGCAGTTGTGCTAGATGTGCCCAAAGGCAGACTCTTTTCTACACAAAGCACTTCATTCTCTTTTTCCTTTTTTCTCCTTTCAAGATTGTTCTGGTACACATTAGCAAAATGCCTTGGGGGAAGGGAGCCTAGAAAGGCTTTAAGTGTAAGTATTTCCTTCACAAGGAAATCCATGTGCTTTCAGAAGAAGCTGGGTCTTGGAAAGAGGCCAGTTAGATTAAGTGCCTAAGACTGTAAATAAAGCACAAAAGAAGAGACTTTGTGAGTCCAGATTTAAGATAGATCATTAATATCTTCATTAACGTTTTTCTTTATGTGCTTTTTAAAAAGTATGAATTGTGGTTGGTTTAGAGGTTGAATTTTATTTAAGAGGTAATTGTGTAGGTGTTTCAAACTATAGAATAATGTCCCTTTTGGTAGTAATTAAATTTTTAGCTTTGGAAAAATGTTCAGAGTTCAGATAATTAGCGTGAAGTTTTAGGTTGAGACCATGGCCTTGCCCCACTGCTGACCCCAGGCAGACGCCCACACCTACCAGCCTTGCCTGAGCCCTCTCTGGGTTCTCAGGAGATTCTGCAACTTCCTTACTTTGTGGGAGCATCCTCAGTGCTCAGCAAACACATCTAGGACTGGGTGTCATCTTCACTGTCCGTGTGCAGCAGCATTCCCCATCACAGGCCGATTCTGATGTTCATTCTGTGTTAGGAAAAGATGGACAGATTTATGATTTTCACTATAATGACTTCTGCAGAGTTTTGCCATTTTTTAACTCCCCCACTTTTCCTTTTTGTAAAATGACTTTCTCATTCCCAGACATACTAAATGAATATAAAAGTGATATATCATGGTTACCAGGGACTGGTGGAGAATAGGGAGTTATTGTTTAATGGTGAAGAGTTTGTTTGGGATGACAAAAAAGTCTTGTAAATGGCTAATGGTGATGTTTACACAACACTGAATGTACTTAATGCCAATGAATCATACACTTAAAAATGGTAAATTTTATGTTGTGTGTGTTTTAGCATGATAAAAAAAAATCACAGTTTCATCAATTTATATAGACAATATTTTCTAGTCGGAGAGTATCAGGTGGCCCAGGTTTTAACGGGCTGCCATTTGGAGATAGAAACCAATAAAATGCTCCCTTCCTTAGGTAGCAGGGACCCTACTAAGGTGACCAGAATGCTGTGCTCCCTTATTAGCATATTAATCCATTGCATAGAATTAGACGCTTTGAAAGTACTTGAAGGTTTGCCACTTTTTGAAATTCTAAGCACCCTCCTTTCAATGTCATCACTTAAAGGCAGGGTTTTCACAAATGGCTTAGTTGTCAAGAGAAGGATAGGTGTAAAAGACACATCTTCTCACTTGTGAGTCTGTTCTCAACCTCTCATTCCAGTTAATGAAGGTTTTGATTGGCTGTGTCCCATACCAGGATTTAATTGGGACATTTATATTTTAAAAGCAAATTAATTCTCCTGGAAAAACATTAAAATGTTTTTGAACTTCTGGTGCTTGAAAAATATTGGTAAAATCATCTCCTAACACAGGAATGGATTATTTTCTATTTTTCAGAGGAGGGTGGCTAGACTAAAGATAGGGAAAGGTGTCTTCATGTGACTGCAGGAAGTCGTGCCTATGGAACTGTGGTTTCTTCTCTCCCTCTCCTAGTTTCCTTCTTCTTCTCTCTGTCCTCGACCTTTGCTTCAGCGTCTATTTCTTTTTCTCACACAGGCACAGTTTATAATAATCATACTTCATATTTGTCCAGCATTCTTTTCTTGCCATTCGTTCCTTGAAACCACCCTGTAAGGTAGAGGGTGATTAAGGCAAATAGTATTGCCATTTTACAGACTTTTTAAAATGAGATACAGAAAGGATAAGTGACACAGCTAGGTATGGGAAGATGCAGTCCTAAAACCTGTCCTGTGGCTCCAGTCTAATCCTGGTTCCATAGCTGTAGCCCAGATTCTGGGGAGCATGCAGTTCATGGTGGGGACAGGGACATAGCACCACCAGACATACGGCTCCAGTGACTTTGACAACAGGCAGGTGTGGTGCTCAGTACAGTCATCATTAAGCTCCCCTGAAGATCCTCCCAGGAGTTCCCATCCTGGCTGTTGATCAGCTCCCATCCATCCATCCATCCATCCATCCATCCATCCATCCATCCTTCTGTCCAGAATGAAGGGGAGTATAGGAGGTATTCAGCTGGGGGAGGCCAAGAGGCACATATGCCCTCTGGATTCTGGAGACTCCTCTTAAAGGCTAAATTGACAACTGAGTTCAGCCATTTTTGTCCAGATAGCTCGTGATATGTCACAATAAAATTATTTCTCAAAGATAAATTCAATTGTCATATTGAATTATTATCCAGTTAATTCTAGCTACACAGATACTGCATTTATATATTTATTTATTTTATTATTTTATTTTTTTGGCTGCATTGGGTCTTCATTGCTGTGCGGGCTTTCTCTAGTTGCAGAGAGCAGGGGCTACTATTCACTGCAGTGCGCCGGCTTCTCGTTGCAGTGGCTTCTCTTGTTGCGGAGCACGGGCTCTAGAGCGCAGGCTCAGTAGTTGTGGCGCACGGGCTTAGTTGCTCCCTGGCATGTGGGATCTTCCCGGACCAGGGCTCGAACCCGTGTCCCCTGTATTGGCAGGCAGATTCTTAACCACTGTGCCACCAGGGAAGCCCAGGGTAACAATTTAAAAACATGTTTCCAGTTCCCTTCCCTCAAAGAATCAATTTAGTTATGTAAAAATGCAAAAGATTAACAAAACCACCTTAATATTATGATTAATTGATACCTGTCATGCTGGATTGTTATAACTTAAGAACACTTCACCAGCTTCCCAAATCAAATCTGTAGTTTCCCTTTTTATTGTATTTAAAAAAGAAATCTTGGTATGAGAAGCCTGAAAGAAAACTTTCAATGTGCACCAAACACATTTCTAGCTTTTATTCTCCATTGCTATTTGCAGTTACCCAGAGAGGGAAAGTACTGTAAGAAAAATACCACCCAGAAAGATCTCACTCAGGTCACAATTCACATAATTTTCCCTAAGATGCTCAACTGTGACAAGCAAAAGCCAATTCAAAGATAGATCTTTGGGGCACCCTCTGGTGGCTGAGAAGAATCAGGAGCTGTGTCCAGACTCAGAAGGCCAGTGATCTTTGAGGCTTTTTAAAGTGGCCATTACTAAATTTTTCCATTCACCATTGAAAGTGTATCCAGATCAGGAAAGCAGGAGGGAGTGGAAAGAATTTGCAATCACAAGACTTGGATCTGAGTCAGAGCTCTGTCACTTACCAGTTTTGTGAACCTATGTCTAGCTGGTCAGTTTCCACAGAGCTGAAGTTCAATCTGGCATTTCTCATTGGAGATAAGAGGCAATGTCAAAACTAGAGGGGTATATGATTCCATTGTCCAGAAAAGGCCACTCTATAGAGACAGAAAGTAGATTAGTGGTTGCCTGGGGTTGGGGATGGGAGTGGGGATTAATTGTAAATGGACAGAAAAGGTCTTAGTGGTGTGATGAAATGTCCTAAAACTGGATTGTGGTGATAGTGGCACACACAGTAAATTTACTAAAAACCATTGCAATGTATATTAAAAATGAGTGAATTTTGTGGTCTGTAAATTATACCTCAATAAAGGTGTTTTTAAAAAACAACAGGAGGGAAAAGCAGAGTGGAAAACTCGTAAATGTAGGTACAGAGCTAGGAAGCCTGGGTAACTGGGTAGAAGGAAAGGTGAAGGTGGAGCTCAGATGGGGGTGAGCAGAAAAAATGCCTAGGACAGCTGCTGCAGTTTGGAACTTATTTTGTCCACTTTCCATTGTCCATAGCTCGTGCCTAGGTGGGTGGCCTGAGGTCCTCAGTCTAGAGGCAGAAAGGACACTGCTTCCCGGCTCAGATTCCTATTGCAGGTAGAGGCAGGGCTTCCATGAACTCCGAATGGAAAGTCTGACCATTCAGGGGCATTTCTGATGGAGGGAAGACCATTAAAGCAGACAACTTGATGCAGTTGCATCAAAATGACCATTTGGAAATATAAAGACTGTGTTTTCTTCATAGCTTTTCTCCATCACAGGTAATTCAGTACGGTTGGGTAATAAGATGAGATTAAGGAATGGGCTGGGGAGAGAATGTCTATTTTTTACATTACTTACTAATAGAAAACTTGAAAGTGTAAGGATTTACAAAATTACCAGAAGAACGTTCAGGAGAATATCTATGTAGAGTTGGGTAGAGAGAAATTTGTTAGGAATAACGCCCAAACCAGAACTCTGAAAGAGGTGATAAATGGATTTGGTTAGTTTAATAAAATAAAATAAGAAGAGAAAGAAAAAGGAAAAGAAAAAATAAGACACAGATGACATACTAGCAAATAACGTTATATTATATGTACCAAACAGGTACATATCCTCAATGTAACAGACACAAACCAGAGAAAAACAGGCAAAGGATGGGTACAGATAATTCACGAGAGGAAAAATAAATGAAGAGATACAATCTGTCAACATCTGGAACAGCATTTAACCTGGCTACTTACTAATAAATGTTATTAAGAAAACAATGAGCTATTTTTCACCTATGAGATTAGCAAAGATTAAGAAGATCGATGTTGATTATCTTCAGTGCTCTGGTAAATTGGTACAGCGTTCTGGGGAGTAATTTGGCACTACACTTCAAACGCAAATATGGATACCTTTTGGCCCATTCCATTTTTGGGAATTACTTTATGTTAATTAGACATGTGTGAAAAGATATATACATTAGGATGTTCATGACTGAGGTACTCATAACGGCAAAAAAATAGAAAGGTTCTCAAACGCCCTTCAACAGGGATTTCGTTAGTATTGTACATCTTTTCAATGCAATATATGCAGTAATTAAAAATGAATGTGATCTATACTTGGGGTCATGGAGGAAATGTTTACATTGTGTTGCTAAATAAAAAATATCAGGGTCATAATAGCATAGATGATATGATTACATTTTTGTTTAAAATAATAGTGTGTGCCTGGGTGATGGATGTGAAGCGGCACCACCCAGATGCCCCCTTCAAAAGAGGACTTGTTGCTGTCAGCGTGGTCAGGAACTGACCCAGCTGCAGGGCTACCTCTCCCAATGTCCTGCCCTCCTGAGCAGGGAGGGTGGGTACTTCCTGATGGAGGTAAGGGTATAAGGCCGGTCATTTTAGCTCAACAGAGAGCAATTCTGCTGGGCCATTTTCACCCCAGAGCTTCCTGTCTGGTGAGCCAAGGTTGCAACACATCTCAAGTTCTCTCTCTACCTGTTTCTGCTTTCATCCCCTTCTTTCCACAGGTGTTGACCCCAAGGACAGTTCTTAAGAAATGTCCTGCACAATAAACTCCATCTCAGAATCTGCTTCCCAGAAAACCTAAACCAGTGATTTTTATACCTATCCAGTGAACAAATTCTGGAAAAAATATTCAAGTATTTTGTGCTGGATGGTTTGTAATGTCATTATTTTGGCATTGTCTGATTCTTTTAAAATGGGTATTTGTTATTTTTGTCATTAGATGAAGATAATACAGCAGCTTTTCATTCTGGAAAATAAAAAGAAAAATTAGTAGCTTGGTGTTATTCTGGTTAAGATGACCAAATCTAAGTATCCATATCGAAATGGCAGCATCCAAGCCACCTGGTGTGCAGCCTTCTGAATGGGGAGGCGAGCTGTTCTGAACACCCTTCTGGCCCACACCCTTCCTACTGCTCTAGCTCTTGGTTCTGGTAGGAGTTTTGGCATGTCTTCCACCAGGTTGTCGGAACATTGTTGAGGTTGCCTACGAAGTATAAGATGCAATTTGGGAGGGACTGTGGGGATCCACTGAAGGTGATGTGCACCCACATGCATAGGAGTAGATGTACACAGAACGCCCCATGCTGATAAACTCTCAAGCCTCCAGGGAGTGTCTCCTTTTTCATCATGAGCAGGTGGAACATGTGTGCTGGGAAGGGAGCCAAATGGTATCTGCCACCCAGATTCCTTAGCTTAGAGCCTTGAATTGTTTGGCAAATACCTCATACTGCCTATACCAGAAGAATCTGTCTCCTAGTTTCCCTCTGAGTGTCTTGCGGCCTTTCCAGATTTTGGCCATACCTTGTGGCCATGTTGAAGAATGTAGGGAAACTACAGGGTTAAAAGCCATTGCTGCTGAGAACAAAGTATTTTGCTTGGCTCACACAGTCTTAGGAAATAGCGAATTAGCTATCAATTGTAGCAGAGATCATGAGTTGTTCCCGCAAATCCATTCTCCCCTAAATACAAAACCCAAGTTTTGCTGGCACATGGCTATCCAGCAAAAGACTACATTGCACAGGCTCCCTTGCACCTAGATGTGATTAAATGAGTAAACTATTGCCCATAGGATGTGAGCAGAATCAAAGTTCCAGGTCACCTCCTTAAAGGAAGCACTTCCTCGTCTCCTGCTTCCTGCTAGCCAGGAGGCAGGTCCAGCAGATACGGTGGTGAACCATATCCCATATGGACCAGGGCAAGACCTGGATGAACAGGCCACAAGAGAGAAACAGCCTTGGTCCCTGCTACAGTGAAACTTCCAGAACCTCATAGCATCCCTTGACCACTTACTCTTGTACTGTTACATAAGAGAGTAATACACTTTTTATTTAAGCCTCTGAATTTTTGGAAGGGGGAAATGCAAAAACCAGTCATTGTTTTTATATTATACTTTTATAACCCTATTATAGTGTTTATTATACTAATGTAATTACGTGTTTACTTCTCTGTCTCCTTCTCTAGATTCTTTCTTTCTTTCTGAACTACTAGCACAGAAGTGGCATTCCCTAAATGTTTTCTAAATGCATGAGCAATTGAATGCTGAGGAAAATCTGTGGAAAAGCAAAGCTGGAGAACTAAATACAAACTTTAATTTCACAATTTCATGTAACCAAAGTTTCTCCAGGCCTCTCCAGCCTGGGGGGACAACTAGAATCCCATCAACACATGGGGACAAAAATTATGAATGCATAAGTGCTCACAGCTGTCCCTTCCTTACCCTGGAGGAACATTCTAGTGTTTCCTGCTTAGCATTCTACCACATCATCCCGGTCCTGATAAAAATTCACACCCATCTTTCAGGTCAGATTAATCCGTGTGAGGAGCACCACTGAGAGGGAAGTTTTGTCTCAGAAAAGGCTGAGAAAGGGAAGAGGGGAGCAGGAGGCCTGAGTGAGAGAGTGGGAGCTGGGGAGGAAGGGGAAAGGACATTCAGTGTGTGAGACTGCAGACTGTAAACTGCATTTCCTTTTTTTTTTTTTTTTTTGTGGTACGCGGGCCTCTCACTGTTGTGGCCTCTCCTGTTGCGGAGCACAGGCTCCGGACGCACAGGCTCAGCGGCCGTGGCTCACGGGCCCAGCCACTCCGTGGCATGTGGGATCTTCCCGGACCGGGGCACGAACCCGCGTCCCCTGCATCGTCGGCAGGCGGACTCTCAACCACTGCGCCACCAGGGAAGCCCTGCATTTCCTTTTGAATGTCACTTGAGAGATACCAGTAAAGACCAGAATTAATGTGCTTTTGATGGCTGGTCTCTGCTCTCTGACAACACCACCATAGAAGACAGGGCAGGACACTGGGATTTTTTCCCCAACAACATTAACAGCTCCAGTTTCACTGGCTTTTAGCCCATCTCTTCATGAAGAGCCTCAGCCCGTTCCCTACTTCACAATTTTTTTCTGAGAGTCCTAGATGTTGTCTCTCTTGTAGCCAAGAATTCCAACCGTCATTGTGATTCTGGCCACTCATGAAGTCACAGGAAGGCAACCCGTATCCTCCGTGACTGCCACAGCTATCCCCGGGAAAGCCCACGGCATGGTCTTCACATGCTCCAAACATCTTCTGTCCTGGTCCCCTGGTCTTTGAGATTAACCAAGGAACTGGTGTCTGAGTTACAAGTCCTTCTCATCTTAATTTTTCTCCCAGATGCATACGAAAAAATGAAAAGTTCCTGGAATTCCCTTGTGGTCCAGTGGTTAGGGCTCCACACTTCCAACTGCAGGGGGCACAGGTTCGATCCTTGGTCCAGGAGCTAAGATCCCATATGCTGTGTGGTGCAGCCAAAAAAAAAAAAATTTTTTTTAAAGTTCTTCCTTTCTTCTTCAGCCAAAAAAACCATCATGCAATTCAAACTCTTGTGGTCCTAGCCCCCAGTGCAAAACACATGTCAGAATCAAGCTGCCTCAAGCTTGGACCTGGCATTAATCAAACTAACCTGCAGCACCATGCAACGAGTCTGAGGTCCTCAGCAGCTCTTCAGTCACGGACTGAAAACCGGGAAGGTAACACACTTGAGCTATGGTGCAGGGCAGGCGGGCAAACCGCAGCTGCCAATGCTGGGACTCCTGGGGCCCACATGCATCGGGAGGAGGGTGGACATAACTACTAGTGTAATTCCTCAGTCTGCTGGACTCATAGTACAAAGATATAGCTGAAAGTGGTTTCTGAGCTTTATTAAGCATTATTATGTAAATAAGCCAGAAACCTACAGCCAGATGACTGAATTTCAAATATTCAGGAAACTGAGTTGATTATAAACAAGACTACTGACTTACAAAAATGCACTTTGTTCTTGATGTTTGACAAATATAATTTTGCTCCAGTTGTTTAAGACACAGCTTCTCATGGTTGGTGAGGAAACAAATCTGCTGTGAATGTGCAAAGCAGTGACAATGCATAACATGGGGCCTTCGGGCAGCGGCCACATGGTTCACTTCTGCTGACAAGTGAGATCCCTGCTAGACAAAAGAGTGAAGAGGTGCAGGAGTTATTGGAATTTGTTTTACCAAGGGAGAATTATGGAATATTTACCAAATGGGTTTTCTGTGTATCCATAGTTACTAGCAAAATCCCAGTGTGAATAAGGCCATAAAATCAGTCATTTATTCAGTAGTCCACGTGAGGCACTGTAATGAGTCCTGATACTAAAACAGAATATTTAAAATAACTGTTGGGACTTCCCTGGTGGCACAGAGATTAAGAATTTGCCTGCCAGTGCAGCAGACATGGGTTCAAACCTTGGTCCAGGAAGATCCCACATGCCATGGAGCAACTAAGCCTGTGCACCACAACTACTGAGCCTGCGCTCTAGAGCCCATGAGCCACAACTACTGAAGCCCGCGCGCCTAGAGCCCGTGCTCCGCAACAAGAGAAGCCGCCGCAATGAGAAGCCCGCGCACTGCAACAAAGAGTAGCCCCGGCTCGCTGCAACTAGAGAAAGCCTGTGCGCAGCAACGAAGACCCGACACAGCCAAAAATAAATTTTAAAAAAACCCAAAAAAACCTGTCGTAATGTGTGGCCACCTTATGTAGAGTACAGAAAGCCTGTAGCTATTTGCAGCTCCCAGCATTGCAAAAGCCGTGCAGAAAAATACGAAGTAAAAAGAATGTCTAGGGCTTCCCTGGTGGCGCAGTGGTTGGGGGTCCGCCTGCTGGTGCAGGGGATGCGGGTTCGTGCCCCGGTCGGGAGGATCCCACATGCCGCGGAGCGGCTGGGCCTGTGAGCCATGGCCGCTGGGCCTGCGCGTCCGGGGCCTGTGCTCCGCGACAGGAAGGGCCGCGGCAGTGAGAGGCCCGCGTACCGCAAAAAAAAAAAAAAAAAGAATGACTATATGTGCATAACTGAGTCACTTTGCTGTACAGCAGAGAGTGGCACAACACTGTAAATCAACTCTACTTCAATTTAAAAGAATAAAAAAATAAAAAACAAAAAATGCAAAGGAAAACACACATACAGGCACGTGGGCGTGCACACACACACACACACACACTCACGCCAGTGCTTTATGGGGATGGAGAAGGAAGCCAAGTTTCCCTTTAATTAAATGATATATTCTCTAACCTTTTAGATAGTTGAAAGCTAATTTAAGCTCTGAAGAAAAGGTACGTCTCATCTATTGGGTCATCTTTGGGACGCTCCCGGGTGACTGCGGATACCAGATGTAATCACTGAAGTGTCAGCATTTTTGTTCTCCTTTTCTGCAGTGATACAGAGAGCTCCATTGTCTAGTCTCTCAGGCGGCTCTTGCTGGCAGATTCCACGTAAAATCACAGAGGGCAATTCTCCTTCGTTGGGGATAGGGACGCCGGGGGTGGAGCTCCCCTCTGCCGAGAGGGCCACTCACCCGGCCCCAGGTGCTGGGAGGAGACAGAGCTGGGGGCCCGGCACTGGGGCAGAGCTCAGGCTCGGCACCGGCGGCAGGGCAGGACCCCCAAGCATCCCAGTTTCCCTAGGCCAGCCAAACCTCTGTGTCTGTGCTGAAAATCCAGCCTGGAGAGGCTCCTCTCGGATGACACCTAGAGATGACTGAAGGAAGCAGAATTCTGGGCAACTGGAAAGAACTTGAGTAGAATGAAAGTAAGGGTTGTTTCCCCTCTGGGTGCATTTCTGGGGTGTCTTGGGTGTGCTCTAGGTGGGGTGGTTAGGTGTTAGGGATAGGAAGGAAGCACTGACAACTCTTCTTGGGAGCCTGAGAAAAATCCAATTAGATTTATACCTCACAGGATGAAACAACAAAAACAAAATATTTCAGATGGATTTTTTTGTATGTAAACAAATAAGACCACAAAGGAATAAAATAAGAGAATTTCTCAGTAAAAAAAAATAAAAAAGACTGTGGGCAGAGCTGCAAAAACATTTAGGAGCCCCAAAAGTACTTTTTGACTGATTAAGAGTTGGAAAGCAAGGAAGAAGGAAGTGTTAAGGCTGAGAACCAGATCTCTGGCCTCGCAGATCTGGGGCTCCTGCATCCTTCTCTCTGAAGTGAAAGCAAGGAGGACATTGCCTGAATCACCCATCTCTCACTCCCCACCTGCCCTGGCTGCTCTGTCATCAAACTCTCAAACAAGGCAGCCCCTGAATTCCTTACTATGACAATTACTTCATTTTGCAGCAATTTTTTTGGCTGTGTTGGGTCTTCGTTTCTGTGCGAGGGCTTTCTCCAGTTGCGGTGAGCGGGGTCCACTCTTCATCACGGCGTGCGGGCCTCTCACTGTCACGGCCTCTCCCGCTGCGGAGCACAGGCTCCAGACACGCAGGCTCAGTAGTTTTGGCTCACCGGCCTAGCCGCTCCGCAGCATGTGGGATCTTCCCGGACCGGGGCACGAACCCGCGTCCCCTGCATTGGCAGGCGATTCTTAACCACTGCACCACCAGGGAAGCCCCGCGGCAAATATTGAAAATACTTTTGAACCAAAACGTAGGACACCAGATCCCTGGGTGGTCTAAAAGTGGAGGCAGGGCTGTGCCTCCAAATAAGGGTGTAAGGTCCTCGAGATGGTTCCGTTTTTAGGACTCCAAACGGTGTGCTCCGGACCTGAAATGCTGGAAACTCTTTGGTGGGATGTGTTCCAGGTCCTCAAGTCATTATGAGAACCATGTCTGACCTCACAAACGCACGCTGATAAGACGATTTATCTGGATAAATCTCAGGATTCCACAATCTCCACATGTGGCTTCTGAAGGAATTCTTTTTCCAAAACCATTTTTAATCTCATAAAGTCCAAAGAAACTCAGAAAGGACTATCTTATTTCTTTCCTTTGCATTAACTAGGGAAAAAAAAAGTCCCTGATGCATTTCCTTTCAATAGGCTAAAATCCCATTTCCAAGCTAATTGGAAATTGCATGGACCAAAACATCAGGGCAGGCCCTTTAGCCAAGATGGGATCAGTAGGTGCCAAGTCCCCACAGCCGAGGTGCTATGACCAGTGTAGGCGGCAGCTTCCAAAGTAGCATGTAAGGGAGCAATAATCATCTCTCCCTATATTCTCAGGCAATTGAGAGCTATTTAAGGTTCCATGGAAAGTTATCAATTGTATTGCTTAAATTAATAAATTTTTAAACACCTCCCATCTAATCACACTGTCTTCTTTTGAGTTCTGCCTCTGGCTGTGTCTTATTTGTTGGGGGATGGAGGGTAATTCTCTGTGTCGTTTCTACATGCGTTGTAACAACTCTTGTCCCAGACCGTCTTTCCAAGGATATTGTACACAAAAAAGCCTTGGAGGATAGAGATGGAGTCTCTTTCAGGGGCTGGGGGCAGATTTGTTTTCTGGCAAGGATAGTAAAGGTAATGTCTGTCTCTGGAACAAAGGTTGGGCAGGTTTGCCAAGAGCCCACTATAAGATCGGAGGTTTTCTAAGCTCACAGTTCCTCAGCTTTGACATAAATCCACTGTGTGCATAGCATCCGCCTGTGCCCACCTCGGCATCACCCCCATGGGACTCGGGGCTCAAGAGGAAGCCATGAGAATGTGAAGCTCATGCTGCCTGCTGTGCTGTGAGTAATAACGCCCTTTGTCTCTGACCAGGGGACGTCAATGCCAGCATCAGTGAAGCTGTGACTGGCTCACTTGTTAGCCTGCAAAGAGGGTAAAAATTTCAGACTCCTCACGATATTGACATTATTTTGTCTTGTCATCTCTTTGGGTCATCATTTGACTTGAAGTTGGGGGAAATGCTGGTGAGGATGTGATAAGGACAACAAAAGCAAATTAAGTAGCTAATGTGAGTTTAACGTTGCTCTCGCCAGGGTCCTGCTAGCCTCCTGGCTGTCTTTCCTCTTTCCTTGCCCCCATCAAAGTGAGCATCAGGCCAGTGCACTGCGGGGCACACCCTGAGTTCTACAGTGTAGTGAGTGCCTCTGTATACCAACCACTCGGCAATCCACGATCTGTTTCTTACAACAGTTTTGGAAGTTAGGAAGTATCCCTGACCTGAGGCTGAGAAGGGTTAAGAAACTTGTCCAATACCACAGAACCTAGCGATTGAGGCAGGATTCCTACCTGTATTTATCCGGTAGCAAAGCTCACACTCCTCCCACCACAAGCTCCTGCCGGCCCAGTTATGCAAATGAAGTTTCCAGGGAAAACGGAAAATGTTGCAGTGGTTATGTTGGCCAGTTTGCTTAACTTCCTCTCCTCAAGCGACTGCCACTACCCCATTTCCTGATTTGCTGCCCTATTTTATTTGACCCCTATTACTGCCAATCCACAGCAGTTCCTCCGCCCCTTTCCCATTAGCATCTCTTCTTGAATGTAGAGATATTAATGGTATTTTTTCACAACTGATTTAGAAATCTGTGTGTGTGGAAATGGGCTGAGAAAGACTGAGTTATGCGTGGTCTAAGACAACAATGACAGGAAGTATAAGTTGAACTGACCCTTGAGAGCAATGAGAGAGTAATCCATGACCTCAGCTTCCAGTCCGAGGGGTTCAATACGCATCTGCCGGAAGCCTGAGTTGGGAGCTCATGTCTCCACGTCTTCTCCGTGGGGGCCCGTTTGAGGGATGGCTGCTGTCCAGCTCTGTATCTCCAGGAAATGAGGCTTCGATTCCTTACAGTGTTAACTTTAAAAGAAAGGCACATCAATGCTTCTTGAAAGGGGAAGAATGTTTGAAAAAGAGCTGAATGAAAAGATAGAAAAATCCACAGCCCGCTTTCATTTTCAGTCCCCCTGGCACCAGCCTCCGCAAATGTACTGGCTGCGAAATTCCCTGTGGTCTGTGAGCAGGTGGTGGAACATCCAGATTTCCAGGTTCCTCTGTTTTCCTTGAATTTACCAAATTTCTCAGCCCTGGGAATGCCTTGGGGCGCAGAAAACTTGAAAACAAACGTGTGTTTACAAATTCACCCTCACCACCAGTTGTAATATTGCTGTATTTTCCCAGTAGAATTTTTATTCACTGCTGCCTTCAGTTTAGCGCCAAGGGCAAACACACTCTAAAATTATATCGAGGGGACTTCCCTGGTGGCACAGTGGTTGGGAATCTGCCTGCCAATGCAGGGGACACCGGTTCGAGCCCTAGCCCGGGAAGATCCCACATGCTACAGGGAAACTAAGCCCGTGAGCGACAACTACTGAACCCGCGTGCCACAACTGCTGAAGCCCGCTCGCCTAGAGCCTGTGCTCCGCAACAGGAGAAGCCACCGCAATGAGAAGCCCGCGTACCACAACAAAGAGTAGCCCTGGCCTGCCACAACTAGAGAAAGCCCATGCGCAGCAACGTAGACCCAACACAGCCAAAAATAAATAAATTAATAATAATAATAAAAGAAGCCATTTGGGGGGCTTCCCTGGTGGTGCGGTGGTTGGGAATCCATCTGCTAATGAAGGGGACACGGGTTCGAGCCCTGGTCCTGGAAGATCCCACATGCCACAGAGCAACTCAGCCCGTGCGCCACAACTACTGAGCCTGTGCTCTAGAGCCCACGAGCCACAACTACTGAAACCCGCTCACCTACAGCCCGTGCTCCGCAACAAGAGAAGCCACCGCAATGAGAAGTCTGCGCACCACAATGAAGAGTAGCCCTGCTCGTGGCAACTAGAGAAAGCCTGCGCGCAGCAACGAAGACCCAACGCAGCCAAAAATAAAGAAAGAAAAAAATAAATTTATATAAAAAAAAAAAGAAGCCATCTGGAGAGACAGAGATGCAAAAGACCAGAGACTATAAGAGGAATAGAGAGATGGTTTCTAAACGCTGGGGAATGAAAAATATTGCCACATGGGAATAACTGGATTGATCCCAATCACTGAGGCTAATCAAGAAGGTGCAGTGTCGGACAAGAAATTTGAAAATTCTTTTCTTTCTGCTTGGATGTTTCTTCTTACTCAACGGTTCTCATTCCGTTCAGGCCACATAGCCTGGGTTTTCTGACTGGTGAGGGAGTAAAATAAAGAGAGCAATGATGAGAAGAAAGACGGGGAACAGGCCTGGTCTGGGAGGGGACACCCAAGGCCGGCTCCTAAAACAAAAAAAAAGTCAAGAATGAGTGCAGCTTTGAGTCTGTTTACCAATAGCCTATGGCCACTTCTACACACAGTCAAACCCACCACAGGCCATTGCTCTGGTTGATGTAAATCACCATCACTGTGTGTCTCCTCACTCTGAATGACGCTGCCAAGCCATACGACGGCAGAGCAGTAGCTTCTCTCATCGTCCAAAACCATTAGGGGTGTGTGTGTGTGTGTGTGCACATGTACATGCTCACACGTGGCCAAAATGTAGAAGTGAGAAATCCCCAGCCCAGTCAGATTTGGCCTTCAGTGTTATTTTATTTTGGCTTGTGGAACAAAGTTTGTTTCTTGTTTATGTTTTAAATTTGGGTTTTTTGCTTTCGTTTTGGTGTGAAAAATGTGACACAGCTTTTAAAGTAATAGTATCTTAAGACGAGGTATGACATGTCATGAAAGTTGGGTATGACGCTAATATGACTCTGTGTATTTCTTTCTAATACATATATTTCTGCCTGTGTCTCTGGGCCTGGGCACATCTTGCTATGCTTTTGTTCCTGCATCACTTCTCTTTTTTTTGTGGTACGCGGGCCTCTCACTGCTGTGGCTTCTCCCGTTGCGGAGCACAGGCTCCGGACGCACAGGCTCAGCGGCCATGGCTCACGGGCCCAGCCGCTCCGCGGCATGTGGGATCTTCCCGGGCCGGGGCACGAACCCGCGTCCCCTGCATCGGCAGGCGGACTCTCAACCACTGTGCCACCAGGGAAACCCCTGCATCACTTCTTTTAAACTGTCTCTATTTGTCTATTTCCATCTGTCTCCTCTGTGTTTGCCTCTTTTCCCCACACTTTTCTTTTTTCCCATTCATTTATTCAAAGTTACATTAAATGGCAACCACTGTATATTGTTTCTAAGAATTATCAAATTCCTCTTCCCCCCAGCTCTGAATCAAGTAGCTTTTTCATGCAGGTACTTCAGTTGATCTTTGAAAGTTCAGTGCCCTTGAGAAAAAAAATGTTCTTGACTATTTCCCTGACCCGGGATGGAGTTTTCCAGAAACGTCCATCATGTCAACCCTATATTGATATACACAGAATGCTGATGCCTTTCAAGGCTAGTGAGAAATAAGTCGGTAAAAGGAGAACCCAGACTCTCAGGTGCAGAGAGGAACGAGACAATGTA